AGGAAGGGCTTGGGGAAGGGTGCTGTGGAAACAATGATTGAACAGACCAACAAACTGAAAATGAGTAGTAGACAGGAGGAGGAGCAACCATCCAAAACCCTTCCCAGAGAAGGAAAATCCACTAATATAATGACAGAGAATGAAGGGGCTAGAGGGGAACATTCAAAAGTCCAGCCTCTCGTTTATGAAAAGAAGCCATTAAGGAAAACAAGAGAAGAAAGCTTGTCAGCAGTTTTAAACTTGGAGGAGCCTCTGAAGAAAGAGCCAAGATTGCTGCTTGCTATTAGGTCTCCTTCTGGTCAAAGATTTGAACATCATTTCAGTCCTACAGATAGCCTTCAAATGGTTCTTGCTGTGGCAGAGCAAAAAACCACAACCCAATACAAACACTGTAGTGTTGAAACCATGGAAGTGCCTAGGAGGCACTTTCCTGATCTTACGAAGTCGCTGCAGGAGTGTGGAATTCCACACAAGTCAGTGTTGTGTATCCTACAGGAAGAGCAAGATGGAGATCTCTAAATGTACAATTGTTCTTGCACAACTTCTATCACACCTTAAGCATGTAACTCCATTGGATGCCATGAACTTCCCATTGATGAGTGGTCTAAGAACTGGACCAGCCTGATCTGTTTCAGTGGTCTACTTCTTAGTCCTGCTGTCTTCCAAGAGCTTCCCTTGAAGTAGACTTGTATATAAATGGAGTGTGCTGAAATACTTCTTAATTATTTTAAAGTATGTACACATTGCTTTAAGAGTATTTTTCCATATGTACAATCACAATTCACTTTAAGAGCAAGCACCAGCTTCTGGGCTTTGTAGTATTTCTAAGTGGTTTTTAAAAGAGTTTCCATTCTTCTGGAAAGACCCATCTCTCTCCTGGTGGTGGGAGGCCTGTCTCATCTTCTGTTTTTGCTCCAGGAATGTACCTCTTCCCAGAATGGAGTCTGAGTCAGAATAATGCACGTAGCTGGGAAGATTCAAGCAGCACTATTTTTATTCCTCCCTTCTCTGTTTTGATCCCTTACAGCTATAGTAATCATCTTTATAATAAAATAGCTTATTAGCTGCAATAACAGTTACAGCGGTCAATATGCAGAAAAACAGCCTCAAAGCAGTAACTTAAACTGAGTTTGTGAGTGAACAGATTACTGGGATGTGTTAAAAGTACAAGGTTAAGAGTAAAGTACATTCAAGAACCAAACTATGCCCATACAATCTCAGTGCCTCAAGACTGACTACTTTTGTCTTCTCATAAAAGAAAAAAGTCATAGTTAAGAAGGTCTGACTCCTCTGAGTATATTTGATACAAATAGGCTTTAACTCATTAGTTTTCTTCTTTCACCTAGTGCATTAAGAGCGTGATGCACATCTGTAAATCAGGAAATCCAAAGTCAAGGGTGGATTGTCTGCTGTAACTTTGCATTTCAGTGCTGTTTGCTAACTACTACTGCAATTTAACATGCTTTTAAATTCAACTGCATTAATCTGAGTGATTAACTTTAATCACTGCTTTAATGTTTTGTCTAAATATGTACAAGAGGAGTTCTGCTAGAGGAATAGTTTACTAGGTAAATAACAACCCCAATTATTGTGGCTCTTCTAGAGCGATTTATTTTCTGTAGTCCTGAAAAATCTACCTGCTAGCATAGATTGGCTTGGTTTTGTATTAATGCAGCTGATGTGCATGTGCTAAAGAGCCTCACTTCTTTTTAAGTAAAAAAACAGTCCATTTACTGTAGCTGAGTTTGAGCACTCAGAAAAGAATAGCTTCTGTTATCTGACTGGACAGCTTGCCAAATAAATAGGCTACTTTTATTACAAGTGAAAAACATTCAGTGCTTTTGCCTCACTGTAATGGCCAAACCCACCTTTCGTAAAGAAGGTTGGTAGAATATTTGCTCTTTACTGTGATATCACACACTGAATTTCTGTCAAAAGTAAATATTCATGTGCTAGCAATTAAGCCCCATAGAACAAGATAACTGCTGAAATTGTAGCACTACGTGATGCTGCAAGGGGTAGCACTCAAGTCTGTTTGCTTCTAGCTTAGCCTACATGCTGCTGTTGAAGCCTTCTCAGTTGTCTTCAAGGGTGAGCGTCAGAGCTTAGTTGTAATTCTCATTAGAAACCTAGTTGGGAATATGGTAGAAAGAATGTTTCACGATGAAAATTGCCAGGAACAGTGGGAAGAATGAACTATGATCAGTTTTTTTTTTTACATGGAAGAATACAGTGCATTCTTCTGCTATGAACTTAGGGTTGGCTGTTAGCAAGAGAAGGCTGGTTCAAGTAGCAGAACTGAGTGTTGTATGCAGGTAAACCATAGCATACAAGAGCCCTCTAATGCTAAAGAACACAAACCACCCCCATAGGTGAAGTGTTCATTTTTTTCTAAATAAATCTATGCTATTAACTGGTTACTTCCCATCCCTGTTTAAATACTTAGTTGTGAAATGTGACCAAAGCTCTGTATGTTGTTACTGCAGTCATTTTTTCCTCTTCTACAGATGGTTATCGAACCTTTTCCATTTTAATGCACCTATTCAAATCACATCTGGGCTAGGATAAAGGGAATAACCTATTGTCAACTAACAGCTGTTGAGATAGTGTCCAGAAGAGCTCTGCTATGAAAAAAAAAATCAATGAACAATTTCACTGGAAGCTATAACTTGTGACAGGCATTGTTTCAGTAGTTACTTTAGATTTATGCATTGATATAATCTCTGCTCCCCCACA